GACGCCCGGGCGGTCCCGCGGCGCCGCGACGGGGGCGGAGACCCGGAGCCTACTGCCCGCAGGGGAGAAACCGGCCTTGCGGAGCTTCCCGGAGTCCAGCCGGACCGGAAGGAGGAAAAGGAGCCTGAGGGAGGCCTCCGATGTGAGGAGCCGGAAGGCGGGACCCCGGTCGGACCACCCGCCTCTCACCCTCCGGGCTTCACCGCAGCGCTAAAGCTGCATTTCCAAGAGGACGCGAGCCACGAGCGCACGTTTACATCTGCAGGTCCGGCTGGGTTAACTAACACACCTGACTGCTCCCCTCTCCTCTTTACAAACTCATAGGGAATCAGAAGAATTTAGAAAACCTGAAGCAATTAACAGTAGGCAGTAACTACTGAAACTAGCCCAAATCATAGCGTTTAAACCAGTAGTATACTGGTTTATAAAAAGCAATAAAGAACGATCTCACTAATCAAGGGGAAGAGATGTCCAACACAAAGCTAGCATTTTCTCATTTCAGGGAGATAAAAGCTTTCAAGGTCAGATGACATTAGGTTTAAGTTATATATCATTTTGGGGAAAATGAGCTATTACCTAGTTAGATGAGCAACTTTTAACAGTGGCTAAGCTAGAAATACACCGAGATATTTCAAGAAAATGGGGTGATATTTTTCTTTTCATCACTTTAGCCATTATAAAGTCCTATTATGTTTCTTCTTTTGGTATTTAATTTTCTCTATTGTGAGATGATCATATGTGAATAAAATGGATAAAACATATGCACAGTTTAAAGAATCATTATGCAATGAACACCAGAGTAAGCACCACCAGATCAAGTTAGCAAGGGGCAGCGCCAGCCATCCTCCCCGGAAAATGCCCCTAGCCACACCCACAATCCCCTTACAGGTAAATATTATTCTGATTTACACGAGAATCGTTTCCTTGATTTTCTGTATGTTACTGCTACTCAAATATGTGTTGCTGCCACAAACAATGTAGTTGGGTTTTGCCTGTTTATAAACTTTCCACACATGGAATAACACTACAAACTTAGTTACTTGTTTCCTTTGCTTTACATCATCCACGTGCATGAGTTTCCAGGTTGGGGTATTTCCAGGTCGTACATACATCCTGGTGCAAGGGAGTCTCTAGGTTACATAATTAAGAATAGAATTACTGGAAAATCAAGTATGCCTTTCTTTAAATTTGCTAGATATGCCAAACTGTTTTCAAAACTCTTCTCAGCGATATAGTCTCTGTAACTCCATGTCTATTCTAATGCTCAGAATTGTGAGAATTTTTCATTTTAGTCTCGTGGGTAGGTGATTGTATGGTGGGTTCATTTCATTTTCATATCTGATGACATTGAGCACTTTCCTCATGTTTACTATTTGGAGGTTCACTTTTGCAAAGAAACTGTTCAAGTCTTTAGCTTATTTTTCTATTGACTTTTTATTGGCTTGTATAAGTTACTCGATATTCTACATAATAGTTTGGTGTCAAGTATGTGTTGCCAGAACCTTCTGGCTAATATTCTCTTTTTATGGAGATCTTTTATAAATAAATTTGTAATTTTCTTACAGTTGAATTTATGGTTTATGCTTTATTAAGAAATCCTCCCTACCCCAAGGTCATGAAAATGCTGAGTTACATAAGTTAGCCTTTTATATTTAGGCCTGCTTTTGCACCCAGAATTGATTTCAGTGACTGGCATGATAGGGTCAAATTTCATATTTTCTATATGTATAGTCGATCATCCCATACCCTTTCGCCATTGATCTTCCATGCTCATTCTCTTATCAATGAGCATATATGTGCAGGTCAGTTCCTAGGCCCAAATCTCCTTTGATTTTCAAAACCACCCAAGGAGAAAGGCATTATCTCCATTTTGCAGATGAAACTAACTTCAGAAAGGTTAAATGACTTACCCAAAGTCACAGAACTATTGAGAGCCAGAATTTGAATTAATACAAAACTAGGGTCCATTTTCATAATCTCAAACTCTGAGGTTTTTAGTGTTTCAAGGAGTCTAAAACTCCTAACAAGTCTAACCCCTTCTACTATCTTACTGTTAAACGTTGAAATACGACTAACTTGTTCATGAGGAGGAAAAGGAATCAGGATACAGCAAGAGGAAGGGGTCAGGAGGCAGGAACTCTGAACTGATTCAGGAATGGACTACACTGTCATCAAATCTTGGGTTTATACTGTAAGAAAGATCTTGTTTATTAGGCTAATGGTGCTTTTGATCTGGAACTGAACAAAGTGAGTGCCCAAAACATTCGTGATTGGTGGCCACTGCTGTCTTAGTCCTTGACACGAATATCATACTTAGACTATACTACTAGCTTTTTGAGTGTCAGGTCTAACTTCCAGCTAACCCCAAGCCTCTAATTCACAGCAGCTTATACACAATGACTCTTAACTCTTGCAAATAATTGAGTGGCTAGAATCGTGTAATCAAGGCAGGTTCATAAATGACAGGAAATATAGATACTCCTCAGGTTCTTCTTCCATAGGGCTTTACTTTACAGGACACACAAATTTGTGAAGAAGCAACCATTGACTAAACCAAAAAAAATGTCTTACTCATATTACTCCTGGAAACTGAAATTATCTTCGATTCCTTTCTGTTATATAACATCAGCCCTCTTTGGTTTCAGCTTGAGAGCATTATCAATATTTCACTTGTCACTACTGGAAAAATGCTGGACAACCCTGAACTTAATTATTATTTGGTATTAATAATTGACACAGTAAGGTCTAACAGAAAACAATTTATTTAATAAAAACTTTAATAATTTTTAAGGTAGAAGCAACTGAGAAATGGGATTTTCCCCCTAGACGATGGATACAGAGGGTAAAATTGGTCACCATACACATAATTAAGTACTTCGAGGTAATTGTTTTACAAAACATCTTTATACAAAGAGGAAAAAAATGAGTAATGCCCAAAACAAAGGGGCATATAAACATAAATAGGTACGAACAAGGATATACGATATACCTTTTGGTCATCAATTCAGCAAACAAAATTTCCTCTCTAAAAAAGAGTAAGAATTATTCTTTTACATCAAAATCTACTCTAGAATACTGAAAATAACAAGTGGGAGAGCAAGAGAGAATTCAAAATTGGAAATAATCAATTTATAAGTATTAATTTAAAAGACTAGGTTTAAAGTGAAAACATATCTGATAACAGAAAGCAAAAGTCAGAGGGGAAAACCAGCAAAATGGCCTTTGGACCAGGGAACTCAAAATATAGAAAAGACTCACATCTATGTTTCTAGCACCACAAGATTATGTTTAAATAATAAAAACAAACCAATTTTCTTTATTTTCATTAATCTTGAAATTTTAAACTTAAAAAGTTTAAACCTCAGATCCAAAAGTTAATCCACCTTTAAAGCTAGTAAATATTTATCAAATTCTTTCTAGGTCACACTAAAACACATTTATAGGACCTATAAATTGAGACTTCAGTTTTGGGTATACTTGTACTGAAAAAAATAAATACTGTGTTAAATTTTGTATGGTGACAGAACTTTATGTTTAACAAGACCATGCCAAAAAATAAAAAATAAATAACTCCACAAAAAAACAAAAACCTAGAACTCTGAACAGAGTACATTTACATCATTTCATACTCTTGGGATAAAAGTTATCTCGACAGCCTAACCAGGCACTGATTTTACAGCATGTCCAAATTACAAATAACAGAAAATAGAGATCTCTGCGCTAGTATGAAAAAAGCAAGAAAAAATGTTTTATCTTCTTTGAAAATCACCCAATATGTGACAAAGACTTTCATGTTCTCCTGATGGAAGATCAATAATATAAAATAAATTAAGGAAGATATATTTAACACAATATGGAATCACATAAAAACATTTATGACATTATTTAATATTTTATAATTTGGTTTACAGGACTGCTAAAATATTATTATTTTTATGGCATTCTATGGATAATAATGTACTTAAGCAATAAGGTTTATATATAAATCTAACATCTTCATAAAAAATTTTAAGATGATCTATTTTTAATATAAATTGCAATATGACAAGGAACAATTCTCCATTTTTAAATATAACGCTTTGTCCTAAATTTAAAAAGGAAAGTTATATATTGCAGTGAGGAACCAGAAAGGATAACCAGTATTCCTACATATGTTCTAGGGAACATGTACTCTGTTCCCAGGGCAACCGATCAAGTTCCTTTTTTCTCCCTTTCTCACTTCACAAACTATCCTTCTCCATCACCTTCATTATTTCACTTTTTGCTTAAAATTACTTCCTGTGAATTGTTTTCTCTCTCTCCTTTATAGAACCAGACCTTTGAAATACGCCCATGCAATGAATACACAAGACACAGTTTTAAGTTATACAAGTACATAAAGTACTCATAGTAGCACAAATATGACAATATATAAAACAAAAAGGATATTAATTTTTCTGCGTTTAGATGATAAAGTAGCTTCCCCAAAGGAGGATAGCAGTATAGGGAGGGCACACATCCCAGGAGAATAAGTTTATGTTTGGCTCTGGTTATAGCAACATTAAGACGTCGCCAATCTTTCAAGAGTTCGCCAAGCTGAAAGAAATATAATTTTCAATTATTTGAGTTTTCTTATATATTTGAGTTTGTACTGGCAAAGAATATAGTTTGTCTTCAACTTTTATTACTTTCAAAAACATATATTACAAAAAAGATTCATCAACACATTTAAAAATCCAGACAGTTGGAAAACTTGACCACAATGCCAATTTCAAATATTTTATCTTGGGTTAATATCCTAGTCACAATTTAAAATTATTAAATATATATAATAAAAATTAAAAAGTAGAGCTATCTTCACTCATTGTAGCATTGTTTGTAACAGTAATAAAAACAAAAAAAGACTCGGGAATAGTTAAATATATCATGACACGTATATACAAGAGAAAACTATGCACTGTAGGAACAGAATGAAATCTCTGTGTATTGACATGGAAAGATATCTAAGCTATTTTATCGAGTGGAAAATGCGAAGTCTAGAATAGTGTATATATTACCTTCTGTGTTAAAAAGGAGGGAACTATGAATACTGATTCATATCTCTTTGTATATGCATAGGAAACTCTAAAAGTTTATCCAAACAAACAAAAATGTAATTATCTGTAAGGATAAGAATAGTAGAAAAGAAATAGAGTAGAAGGGAGGCTTTTTACTGCATATATGTTTAAAACCATATGGAGGTATCACAATCAAGAAAAATGAATCAAGAAGTAAAAATGCAAAAAAACAAAACAAAACTTGGAATTATCTATAAATCTGAAAGTACATGTAAGGAAGACTTTATGTTTAAAATTCCCCAAAAGCAATAGCCAAGAGGTGGAAACAACCCAAATTTCTGTTGATGAATGAACAGTTAAACAAAATATTCCTTTGCACATATATACATGCAAAGGAATATTATTTGCATATACCTTTACAAAAAGGAATGTTATTTGTATATACATTTGTATATACATGCAAAGGAATATTATTCAGCCTTTAAAAGGAAGGAAATTCTGGCACACGCATGCTACCGCATGGATGAACCTTGAGGACATTATGCTAAGTGAAATAAGCAGGTAACAAAAGGACAAATACTGTATGACTCCACTTATTTCAGGTACCTAGGAGTCAAATTCATAGAGACAGAAAGCAGAATGGTGGTTGCCAGCAGCTGGAAGAAAGGGAAATTAGGGATTTGTTATTCATGGGTATACAGTTTCAGTTTTGCAAAATGAAAAAGTTCTGGAGATATATTGTGCAATATTGTGAATATACTTAACACTACTGAACTATACACTTAAAAAATAGTTAAGATGGTAAATTTTATGTTCTGTGGTTTTACCATAATTTTTTTTGAGAGGAAAAAAATTTGTCCCACACAAATAAGCAGAAAATACAATTAACTCACAGTTCCATCTTTATTACTTCTAACAAAAGATACTAGAATGATACTTTTGTCTCTTCCTTGGTATTTGTCTACTGTATTAACTTCAACCATCCCAACAGAAGAATGTGCCAATAAATCATTGATGATCTTTAATTGCTGCCTGTATGGTGCAATGATACCAATATCCAAGGGATTACATCCAGCCTAAACAGAAAAAGACACAATTTAAAATGAAAAATCCTCAAATTAGCCAACCAGTTTGCTTAGGGCCACTTTTGTTATTAAGCTTTACTAAATTTATTAAATTCAATGTTTACTATATAATGTGCCCAATTGATATTTATAACAGACATTCCTATTGCAAGGAGTAAATACAATTATTCAATTTGCTCTAAATCTACACCCACATTTTGTGAGATGAAATAAATTCTTCAGACAATTGTCCCCTTGATATTAGAGGTCTGTGGTGGTATAACGGTTTTCATGCCACTAGAACAGTGCTGTCATACAAAAAAAGTATGAAGAAATACAGTTCACTTTCTGCTATCCCTTACACTGAAGTTTCTAGCCCCCAATCATGCTGACTACAGCACCACATTGACACCATCAGAATTATCTGATATTACAAAAAGTTATCTTAAATGGAAACCCAAATGTTTACTGCCATTATAAAAATTATGTCTGAGACAAGTTTTCTCAAAATAAAACAAAAACAATCAGGCTTCAGTCCTCTTATCTTAATAAACTAGGGTTAATGCTAATCTTAAATTCCTTGAATTCTAACATTCTATTAGTCTGCACTAATATTAATTCTATTACTCTGCTAATATTAATTAGCCCTTAAAATTAAATTCTAAATTACCTTAATAAAAATTGAGGTCAGGAAAACTATGAGTTTGGCTTCTGTTATATTGCTTACACCGCCCTTTTCAATTTGCTCTGGTGCTGGAACCTAAACAGGGAAATATGCATCCTGCTTGTAAAACAATCTCTAGAGTTAAGAATACTATCAGTACACGGGTAGTCATAAAGACTATACTACCAGTTGTAGGAACAGATGAAAAAATCTTCATCTTAAAAGTTGAAGATAAAAGAATTAACAAAAATGAACGAGATTCTTTACTTTTAGAAAGCCACCCAGAGGCAACCATCTTAAATATGCTATAATTCAGACTAAAATCTCTATGAAAGCCAACCGCAACTTGGGATTTACATACCTTACTTTGTCATCCCCCATTTTAAAGAGTCAAAAGCCAAAAAGAAAAAGAAAACAAACAAACAAAAAGAGTCAAAAGCCAGAAAAGATAAAGTAACTTGCCCGATGCCTCACAATAAGGAGCTAGGAATCAAACTTAGATCTGGCTCTAGTATCTGTGTTCTTTCTATTTCTTTGTTGCCTTTTATACAAATAATGGAACAGATAAAGTTCCCCAGACTCTACCATACCTGGTAAAACTCTCCAAGGACTACTTTGCTCCTACATTATCCCTTAGTAACCTTGATTATTTTTAATACAACTTATTGGAATCCTAATGCTAAGAAAGAGGGAACCCGAATAACAAAAATAAAGAATCTGAGAAGTCACTGGTGAGGTAAATAATTGTAAATTATAACCAATAAATTGGAATTGTGGTGTATAAAAGCAGTTATTTGTGAGATCAGTATAAAAGCAGTAATTTGCGAGATCAGTTTAACAGAGTTAATTTCCCAGAGCCTGCCTGCCCCTCAGTGATAACCGAAGGGATTTAAATAGTAGGATGAAAGGAGAAAAAAATTTTTAAAAAGTTTGTTTGTTTGTTTTTTACCTTGTCTGTATTAAGAAAACAAACAGGATTGTTTGGCTCAAATACTCCAATCAGCCAAGGATTTTCAGAATAATCAGCATAAAATTCCAGTTCCAGCTTTACATCTTTAAAGTTAGGTAGGTTTATCACTGCATTGGCCACTTTGTCTGATCCACACTCCAGCTTTCCTCCATATGTCAGTTTATTACTTAAGGACATGATTTTACTAAGAAAATCGCAAAAGTAATTTTAGTTTTGGCAGACAAAAAAAACATAAAAATCACTCACAGTTGATGCTGTTACAAATACCTGTTCATTCTGTACTGCACAGTTAATTGTATAACAGCATTTTTATTCTGCTCCAGCCTCTTGAATAAGCTTTCACTCATGCCAAGGGCTCTGTCAACACAAATTCAGGCTTATCAGTGTACTGTAACTGTCGCTTAAAAAGAATCTAGTTTAAAATTAAAACTTCAGTGTCTGCTTACCTTGCTTCCTGGTTTAGCACCAGAGGAGGAAGCTGCTGATGATCCCCGACCAGCACAAATCTCCGTGAAAAAAAAAGTGGCCCTAAGCAAACTGGTTGGCTAATTTGAGAGGCTTCATCCACAATACAAAAATCAAAAACTTTACGAGAAAATATTGGATGGTTTATTCCCATACATGTAGTTGCGACTATAAGCTAAAAACAAATAAAATAGATCAGTTATTTAACATTTCCAAGAAACATAACTTGTTCTTCCCTGCTTTGAAATTAAAAGATCAAAAGTTTTTTGTCCCCAATAACAGGAATTCCCCGATAAAATTTAATTCTGAAACATTTATAGCATGCAAAAATTTTTTTTACTACAAGTTGAAAAAAAAAAAAAAATCAAGTAAAATTTCCAGACACTTAACAATGCTCAAATTTGGATCGTTCCAAATAGAAATCTGAAACATTCAAGAGGCAGAAAGTTAATAAAATTTTTCTTTAAATGTCAAGTAGAACTTCACTTCTGGGAAGATGGAGTACTTTTTCTTACTTCTCCCACAGAGTACATCTAAAAACTCTGGCCATTATATATGACTTACGAAAGAAATATGAAAGGTGGAGAGAAGGCTGGCAAACTAGGGACCCTGGGACTCAAGGAACAGCATAATAGTTTGTTCCCTGAGTTTTCTTTTTGCTTCATATATCCCAGATTTGGAAGCTAGCAAGCCAAGAACACCAATGAGTACAGACCTATAAAAGTTCCAACAAAAGCCAAAAGAACAAGAAAGAGAAAGCCTAGTAGGCCGAAAGAATCACTCTACTCTAGCCAAACACCATAGAAAAAACTGTGACCTCCCATAACCAATGCCAGCAGAGGCAGAACGGGGAAACTACACTGCAACCGTCCCAAAGCTATAATAAGGCTCCCCAATACCCAACCAGGGTAGTGTTAGAGAAGGCCAAGTAGGGGGCCAGGACTTTCATCCTTGCTGACTGGTAATAAGCCCCCACCCACAATGCCAGTGGAAACTGCTTGGGGAGTTTCCAGCAGTAATGAGGAGCCAACACCTGGTGTGTTAAAAGAGGCCGAATAGGAAATCAAGACTTCAATTCCTACCTGCTAGTAATGAGGTGGCATACCTACTCTTGCTCTACTGGAGTAGTGTCAAAGGAAGCCAGTTAGAACAGAAGTTTTAAGTAACATAATACAAAAATGCTCAGGTTTCATCAAAAATCACTCATTATACACAGAAACAAGAAAATCTCAAACTAAATGAAAAAAGACAAGAGATGCCAACACCAAGTTTACAGTGATGTTAGAATTATATGACAAAGATTTTAAAGCAGCATGATAAAAATGTTTCACTGAACAATTACGAACACAGCTGAATCAAATGAAAACATAGAAAGTCTCAACAAAATAGAAAGTCTCAGCAAAGATAAAAGAACCAAATGGAAATATCAGAACTGAAAATACAATAACCAAAAATTTTTAAAAACACAGAGTAGGCTCAACAATGGGACAGAGAGAATCAGTGAACAGAGACACAGAAAAGTAGAAATTATTGAGGGTGGGGCTAGATAAAAAAGAGGAAGGAATTAAGAAGTACAAATTGGCAGTTACAAAATAGTCCTGGGGATGTAAAGTAGATCATAGGGAATATAGTCAATAATATTGTGATAACTGTGTATGGTACCAGGTGGGTACCAGACTCATAGGGGGAACACTTCATAAGTTATATAAATATCTAATCACTATGTTGTACACCTGAAATTAATATACTATTGAATGTCAACTGCAATTGAAATTTTTTTAATTTCAAAAAAATAGAAATTATAGCCTAAGAAACAGAGAGAAAATACTGAAAAAAACAATAAACGAGCCTCATGGACCCATAAAACGTAACAAAAGATCTAACATTTGTGTCCTCACAGTCCTAGAAGAGGGAGGAAAGTACTAGAAGAAATAATGGTTAAAAATGTCCCAAGTTTGGAAAGAGACATTAAGCTGAGGGAAAAAAATCTACAAGACACATTATAATTAAAATTCTAAAAACTAAAGAAAAGAAAAAAATACAGACAGTAGTCTGAAAAAAACATTACTTTGTTATAGGAGAAAAACATTCTAATTTAAATGTCAGCATATTTCTCATCAGAAACCATAGAAGGCAGAAGGAAGCGGCAGAAGATTTTTCTAGAACTAAAAGAAAAGATTAGCCCAGAATCCTGTAACTAACAAAACTATCCTTCAGGAAGGAAGGGGAAATTGAGATACTCTCAAACTGAAGAAAAAAGTAAGAGATTTTTTGCCAGCTGACCTACCACCCTAAAAGGGTGGCTAAAGGAAGTTCTCTAAACAGAAAGGAAACGGTGAAAGATGGAAACTCAGAATATTGGAAGGGAAAAAAAACATAGTAAGCAAAACTATGGATAAATACAAAATCCTTTCCATCTCCTCCAAATTATGTTTGATGGTTGAAGCAAAAATTATATCAGTCTGATATAGTGCTAAATGTATATAGAAGAAATATTTAAGGCAATTATAAACAGGGGAAGATAAAGAGATATAAATGAAAGTAAGGTTTCTTCCCTTACAGTAGTAAAACGACGACACCAATAGACTGTAAGTTATGTATATGTAATGTAATAACTAGAGCAACCACTAAAAAATATATTCAACATGATGCACCAAAACACTATAGACAAATCAAAACAGAATTTTAAAAATGTTCAAGTAATCCATAAGGCAGGAAAAAAATCAGAGCAACAACAAAAAAACCCCAGAAAACAAAAAATGACAGACTTAAGCCCTAACATGCATCAATAAGTGTGATAAATGTAAATGATCTATATGCCATGTACATTTTAAAAGATAGAGATTAAAGATAACAAGTAAAAACAAATAACAAACAAAAAACAGAGACCAGCATAGTAGATAAAAAAACATTACCCAGCTATAGAATTTCTACAAGGAAGTCACTTGAAATTTAATGACATAGGCATGCTGAAAGTGAAAGGATAGAGTCCCATATCAATTGATTTTCATTTGTTGAATGATTCTGGCATCATGGCAATAAATCCCACCACTTGTTCATGGTATATAAACTTTTTAATATGCTGCTGAATTTCGTCTGTGAGTATAGTGTTGAGAATTTTTGCCACTCAAATATACCCAATGGATTTTTTAACACAGGTGAAAAAGCAATTCAGTAGAGGAATGAAAGGTTTTTTCAAGAAGTGGTGCCATAGCAACTAGACATTAATAGGTGAAAAAATGAACCTTGAACTAAATCTGACACCTTATACAAAAATAAACTGGTCACAGACTTAAATGTAAAACATGAAAGTGTAAAACTTTTAGGAAAAAAAATAGGAAAAACTTTCAGCATCTAGAGCTAGACAGAGTTCTTAGACTTGGCACTAAAGCAGAATGCTTAAAAGTAAAAATATTACATACTGCTCTTCATCAAAATTAAAACCTTTTCTGCCACGAAAGACCCTGTGATAACGATGAAAAACAGGCTACACAGTGAGAAAATATACACAGATTACATTTCCAATAAAGGACTAATATCTAGAATATATAAAGAACTCTCAAAACTCAGCAGTAAAAGAATTAAACAATCCAAACGGGCAACAGATATTAAGAGACATTTCTCTGGAGAGGCTATACAGATGGCAAACAAGCACATGAAAACACCATTAACCATTAGGGAAATGCAAATTAAAATCACAAATGAGATATCACTAGACACCTATCAGAATGTCCAAAATGAAAAATACCATCAAATGTAACACCATCAAATGCTGACAAGGATCATTCATACATTGCTGGTGGGAACTTTAAATGTTACAGCTTCTTTGTAAAACAGTTTGGTAGATTAAAAAAAAAAGAAAATGCTAAACATGTAACTACTAAATGACCCAGAAATTTCACGCCAGAGAAATGAAGGCTTACATTCACAAAAAATCCTTTACATGAATGTCTTTAGCAGCTTTAATAATAGCCAAAAGCTAGAAACAATCCAAATGTTTTTCAATGGGTGAATGGTTAAACAAACTGTGATACAGCCATACAATTGAATGATACTCACCAATAAAGAGGAACAAACTGTTGATAATGCAACAATCTGAATCTCCAGAACATTAAGTAAAAAACACTAATCCCAAAAGGTTACATACTGTTCAATCCCATTTATATGACATTCTTGAAATGACTATATTGTAGAAATGGAGAACAGGTAAGTGGTTATCAGGGGTGAGACAGGAAAGAAGTGGGTGTAATTAATTATAAAAGTGTAACAGGAGTGATCCTTGTGGTAATGGAACTAACTATTCTGTGTCTAGACTCCTTCAGTGTCAATATCCTCGTTGTGATATGTTATTACAGTTTTGCAAAATGTTACCAACAGGCAAAGGGTATACACCATCTCTCTGTATTATTTCTTATAACCGCATGTGAATCTATAATTATTTCAAAATAAAAAGTATAATTTTTTTAAAAGTCAACTAAACATATGTCTTAGCCACTTAAAAATTTTTCAGTATTTGGCATAGATATTAGACAAAGGAGTTGAAGGAACAGTCTATAAAATCTAATTTATTTTAGATGATTTTTTTAAAGACAAAAATATCAGTTAAGACCTCCCAATAAAAACATATAGACATTAAATAATAAAATGTAAATTAAGTTCTATATCAAAGCCTAGAAATATCCATCACAAGACTGTTCAAACGCCTCTGCTTGTAATTCAAACTCACTAAAAAATCCTGATTAACAGTTTTCTAGGTATGATAGTGTAATATAACAAGAAATATATATTTGGTCTTCCTCCTTGTTCTTGGCAGAGCTCCTAAGCCCCTTGGAATTTCCTGAGTGGTAAGAGTGAGAAGAATATCTTTTGCTATTCATAATAAGCATCCTTTTCAACCAAACCAGAGTTTACGGCAGTGAGGAGACTGAGAAAGGCAGCTGGAACCATGTGAGGAACCATGTGATTAGAAGATTAGAACTTTCAGCTCCACCTATCCCTCTAGTTCCAATAAGGGGAAAGGGGCTGGGCTAATCACCAATAGCCAATTATGAATCATGCCTACATGATGAAATCTCCATAAAAAACCCTAAACAAAGGGGTCTGGAGGGCTTCCGGGTTGGTAAACACATAGCACTAGGAGGGCAGTTCACCTAGAGCAGGCAAAGAAGTTCCATGTGCCTTTCCCCATACTTTACTCTATGCTTCTCTTCCATTTGGCTGTTTCTGTATTGTTTCTTATATAACATAACCAGTAATAGTAAGTAAAGCACTTTCCTGAGTTCTGTGAGCCATTCAGCAAATTATCAAACCCAAGGAAAGGGTCATGGGAACCATGATTTATAGCTGGTTGTTCAGAAGCACAGACTTGAATTGAGAACTGAAGTAGGGGGCGGCATTGTGAACCCCTAACCTGTGGGCTCTGCACCAATTCCAGGTAGGTAGTATCAGAAGTGTTTTGAGTCTTCCTTTACCAGGATATTTCCTTTACTGGGATCCCTGAATAATCAACCAAAACCTCATTTCGGTTCAGAAGCAAAGGGCAAACAATAAATTAGTAAACTGTGGTTTATATGAATTAATCACATGCAAATTTGGTCAATGCAACTGAATTTCCCAGAGTGCCATTTCTCCCCTCATTTTGGCTACAGAAATTACTGTCAGCATTATTATACCATACTTGTACTTACTTGACTACTGTAAAGTTCTTCTAAAAGAGCTAAAGATTTAATGGACTTTGATTTGCAAATTTCCTCCTCTGTAAATTTCTGGATATCTGGATGTACGTTCTGAGTATGACCCAAGCGCAAAAATCCTATTTTAAATTTTGCTAACTTCAAAAGAATATTGTCAACAGCAGAGTGCGTATAACTGGTCAACAAAACACTAAAACCACAGGCATAGAGAATTCTTACCTAGAAATGAATAAGGGAAAGGAAAACAGCATTAGTTTTAATTCTAGACAACTTTTAACATGCTTATATTTTTGTAAAAGAATTAGAAAACTTTATACAAAGCATATCTAAGAGCTGAGCCAAGTATACTGTGTTTTAAATTATAATGCCAAAATGTTTTATGAAAACATGGCATTATCACATTATTAATGTTAATATTATTAGTGACGATAAAATTGAGTACATATGAATTTTGATGAGAGCCTGGCACACAGTATCAATCAATATTTGCTGCCATCATTATGATTATTCTAAGGCTGCTCAGAAATTTACTAATAGAAAAAAATCCAAGAAAAATATATTTCAACCAAAATTTTAAAAAATTTATCATTTTTTAAAGGGAAAGAAAACATATCATGATACATATACCACCAACAGAAAGAGATGCTACACAATCTAAAATGGTAGAAATCTGCAATATGATTACAACTATTTGTGATTTAGCTTTTATATTTCTCATGTCATTCTAGAAAGTTAATTTGAAATGAAGACATTTTGATCGAAAATTCGGCCCTTTTGATATCAAACATAACATTCTCTGAACTAAGGAGAAACTGATTTAAATATTTACTTTCTAAGCAAAAGAATAATAACCTTACAAGAGTGCATATTGTAGTTGTCTTGCCTGTTCCAGGCATACCCACGATGAGTGTGTAGTCTTTCGAAAGAAGTACCTTTTTCATTGCTTGCCTCTGAGGCTTATTCAAACCTGCATTTAAATTTTAAAATAACAACAACAAAAAAAGTGTGGAATTTCAATGAGCAAATTACAAGAAAAGTAACTTCTATTCAAGTCTTCTTCAACCCATCTTTTCAAAGAAAATATGGTGAAGTTAAAGGATATATGTAAACTACTTCCAAAGAGATTTAGTTTAAAAACTGTAACTGTGTATTAATTATGAAAACAATAGACTATAATATAGATTAAATTATAAACAGAACCAGGAAAAATAAATGAAAGCAGACATGCTATGCTGATTATAGCATACCTTTTAGAATGCAGGCAACTGCATCCTTTGCATCGTGTGGAAGAACAGAACTGAGGTAAGAGATGAACTGAGGTTCACGGAAGTCAATGATTAAATCTCGAAGTTTTTGGCTGAAAAGAAAAAAAATGTTTTAAGTAATATTCCTTAGGAAAGTGGGGTAAAATTCAGATTCATTTACTGTTACAAACCTGGTATTAGTATTTTTCATCAGTTTAGAAAGATTTCCTAATGGAGTATCTATACCACAATTTTTTTCTTCCTGGTCCACTCTGAACAAAGTTGATTCTGGGAGCACTGACAAGTTCCTAAAACAGCAGAACAGATGTACATGGATGTTTTTCATTTAACATAGTCAGTTAGTCTGTATAAGAAATATGTTGCTAAAAGAGTAAATAGGTCAGAATAACTGTAAAAATGGGTATCAGCCCCTAATTCATACTTGCCAATCAAAGACAGCACAAGACCCTGGACTGATGGGAAAAGGAAGAAGGGGAGGGCACAAGGCACCAAGGTCAAAGAAGTTAATATTTAGGAACCTATATTTGCTGACAATTCACTTGGCCTTGAAATCTAACCTGGGCTCACCACTCACAGAAGGATCCCGGGCATAAGGCTCCTTCCTCCTCCAACCAGGAATGCAGGTCTCTTTCCTGATGCCTTCTACCACTCCTCTAGTAGCTCCTAAAGCCTTGGTGACACTTGGGGTTCCCTCCCTGGTCCTCAGTACTGCTCTTTCTTGTCATTTTCCCTTAGTGTCCCTTAGGGTCCCCTCCCTGGTCCTCAGTACTCTTGTCATTTTCCCTTTGGTCTCATGCCTTCATATGGCTATAAATTCCAAGTATATATCTTCAGGCCTAACCTCACATTCATTCCTCACCCAAGGTTCAGGTTTGGATATCCAGCAGGCAGCAAGATCTTCCAACTTGGTCGAAAACAGGGCTATGAAAGCTCAGTATATTCAAACCTGAACAACTCTTCATTTCTACTGAACCTGATCCTCCTTCTGTGGTCCCGATCTCAGTTAACAGTACTTGCAGCCGCGCTGCTGCCTTGATCCTTCTCTCACCCTCAACTTCTTCCCAACCTGCATATCCAATCAGTCTCCAAATGCCAGCCAATTTTACTGTCTACATACTTCTCAAAGTCATTGCAACCTCTCTGCCAAACCGACTCGGCCCTCAATCACCTTTAGCCTGGGCCACAACAACAGTTTCCTGGTTTCTCTGCTCTCAGTTCTACCTTCATTAGTTAACTCTACTCTCCACAGCGTATCCACAGAAAAAAAGCCTATCTGATTATTATCATTCTTCTGTTTTAAACTCTTTAATACATTTGAATGAAGTCAAAACTTCTTAATGTGGTATATAAGACCTTCTATAACCTGATCTCTCAAATCATTCCCTTATCTTTTACATACCAGAAATAATTACTTGTACTTTCTTGCATACTCCACTTCAACTATGTCACACCATCATGCCTTTACGCACCATGTCCTTTCTGACTGGTACACTCTTCTCACCTTGCTTCACCAAGCTAACTTATTCATCCACAGGATAAAGATCCAGAACGATCGTTCAAAAAGCCTTCCCTGACCCTCCTATTCTAGTGTTAAATCCCATCAATTGGAACATTTGTCATATTAGACTAAAAATATGTTTATACATTTTTCTACCCACAAGACTATAACCCAAGGATTTGCAATGCACTTAATACATGGTAGTCCCTAAATAAACACTGCAAGGGACTGCAGAGAATCCTAATACGCAACACAAATATTGTTGCTCATACTCCCATATGAAAATCAGACTAGAGTTAGTTAGGGCTTAACTAGGATTACTGATTGGTAGAGAACATGCCTGGTCATTTCCATTAGTTACCCAGAAGTCACTGTATCCCAGTTGTTCATTTCCGTCCATTAAGAAATGGTGATGCTTGCCTGCACTTAAATGCAAGGAAGCCTGAGAATACAGGAAGAAGGGAATATGGATATTGGTGAACATGGGTATTAGTCTCTACCACAAAATTTCATAGCAACTATTCTACTATTTAATTTTTTCTTTAAACCAACCCATTTTGTTTTGAGATAAATATACTAGCACAATTATAAATGGAAAAAAAACATTTCCATAAAAAAATAAATCAATAAAGGAGAAAGAAATGGTGAGTGCCCAGAGTACTAAGACGAAGAAATAAGCTTTAAGTTAACACAGAGTATCTACCCTGCCTGCTATACACATGGTTGTGAGAATTAGATAAGACTATGTCCACAGCGCTATGGAATGTGATGTACTAAACAAAAGTTTAGCAGTTTGAAAGTTCCTCAAAACGTTAAACACTAAATCAGCATATGACTCAGCAATTCCACTATGAGATGTCTATACAGGGAGATAAAAATATGTTCACATAAAAATGGTATGTGAATATTTATAGCAACACTAGCCATAATGCCCCCAAAGTGGAAACAACTCAAATATTTATCAGCTGGTGAATGAACAAAATGTGGTCTATCCACATACCAGAATATTCAGCCACAAAAGGAAATGACGTACTAATAAATGCTGAAACATGGATGAACCTCATAAACACTAAGCTAATGAAAAGCAACCAGACAGAAAAGGTCACATACTATATGGTTCTATTTATATGAAATATCAAGAACAGATAAATCCATAGGGATGGAAAGCAGATTAGTCGTTGCCATGGGCTGGAGGTAAGGCAAGGGAGGAAGTGACTGCTTAAAGGGCACAACATTTCCTTTCAGGATAATGAAAGTGTCTTAGAACTAGACAGAGGAGATGGCTGCACAACATCATGAATGCACTAAATGCCACTGAACTGTGCATTTTAAAATGGTTAATCGTCAATTTTATGTTATACGAATTTAGCTCAATTTTTTAAAAAGAGAAATGAAGCATTGATACATATTACTACATGAAGATGAACCTCAAAAACAGTAAGCTAAGTGAAAAAAAGCCAGTCACAAAAGATCACATATAGGATCCCATTTATGTGAAATGTTCAGAACTGGTTAAATCTACAGAGACAGAAAGGAAACTGGTGGTTGTCTCGGGCTGGGAGAGTGACTGCTAAAGGGTGCAGGGCTTCTTTTCGGGGTGATGAAAATGCTCTAAAATTGATTTTGTTGATGGTTGCATAATTCTGTGAATATACTAAAAATCACTGAATTTTACGCTTTAAGTGGATAGACGGCATGGTATGTGATTTATCACATACTTTATCAATAAAGCTGTTACCGCCCTCCAAAGAAAGAAGTATCTCATTACCTATCTAATAAACAGGTTACCGTTGTCACGTTAATCTCCTTCACATAGCCCCTAGACAAAGCAAATAGTGTTCTTTCTTCTCCACTTAAAATAATTCTGTCACCTGCCATTAGATTTGTGAAAGGTATGGCACCATTTTTACGTTGGAAATTATGTAAATATTGTCCATCGCAAACTGTCTTTACGTGTTCTCTTCTAATCAGGTTTCCAATGCAGCTGCCACTCTGCTCCCTATGAAAGAGAGAGAGAGAGAGAGAGAGAGCGCACTTCCATTTATATCACATATATAAATATTTGCAGTTTTCCACAATTTACCTATTCATCTGACCCCTGGAAACTCTAATGTTAATATTGAGTCTGTCATTTTTACGTTTTCCACAATCTACACTAAAGTTTTAGAAATGCTAAGGAAACATTCTATCAGCTTGAAAATAATCTCTCACCAACAGACCTCTAGGCAAGTACTAGGGAGCGCCTCCCTTGTACCCACAGGCTGGGATCTCTAAACAACATGAGTGTCGACACTTGATCCTTGAAGGACACCCCATCTCCTGTGCATAACAACACTAGAGAAGACAAACTGTAATAACCTGTTCCCAAACCTGATGTGAAGGAAACAGTTACCTATTTCCTTCAGTGTTTACACAAGATTTTATAATTATTGTTGTTAAAATGGCAAGCAAAATGATAATTCCACTGCTTCTAAGAAATAAGTATTAAGCATTCATAATCTCTCGGGCATGACTATTAAAACACTATACAACTTCAGAAGCTTGCTGACATGTACACTTATTATATTCACTGTACTTATGTAGTCTATCGATAACTACTTAAACTTTCTCCACTGTCATGTTTCCTGTGTTAAAGTCTAGTATTAAGGAAATAACAATCCAATTATTTCTAAAGCCACATTATCATCAATATTCATTCTGGAAAGAAATAAAATGGATGAAAAGCAACTAAACATTACATGAAGAAAAATACTATCAAAGATATACAAAAATGCAACTTTATAAGGAACACGTAAAAAAACAAATCTCACAAAATACAAGATTGACCAACTTTAGAAAATTTTAATATCTGAAATAAATTTAAATTTTTAAAAAACATTAATTATTATATACATTAGGCATGTTTCTTGAAAGGGTGTGTCACCTCTTTTCCCTCATATGCCTATGAATAAATAACATAGTAGGTTTCCTCTAAATATAGAGTAATAAAGACTACAAAAAATACTAAAAATATAAATTTTTAAATATTAGTATTTAAAATTTTAAGTAAAACTTCATTAATTTGTACTATACTCATACACTAAAATCCGCCTTATGATATAATGAAGTTTATACTCTTTTCACTGATGAAAAAGGATTTACAAATAATTTTTAAAATAAGATTTCTTGAGGCATATTTATCCTACTGAAAATAGCTAACAATGGTGCTTTACTTAGAAACAATTCATTGACAGCCATCTGGACTTGGCATGTTTGTACCATGCTACATAACCTATATCTGTCATGAATTCCAGATGACATCCCACTAACTAATCTAAATTATTGAAGTTTTACTGTATTAAATGGACCACTTACATTTCTGAAGAAGGCATTAACCATATATTTTGGTGATTCTTTTTATTATCCTTTGATTGTGACTCCAAAGTTAACATTAAATACCAAAGGCTGAAATACTCTAAATGTGTACGCTTTAGATGCTGGGTTTCTTCTTTTATTTTAGGCAGCATGCCAACCGGGACTGAATTGTCATCCATCTGTTGTTCAACTGCTCTAAAGATAAAGTTCCAAGTCAGAGGTGTGTATACAACATTTTACTGGCTGACTATGAAATGAGGTATTTCTAAAATAAATACACATATATGACAATCATCATAACTTATAACCACAGCCTCTAATTTTTTTAAAAAGTCATTTCAACATTTTACAAGTCAAATGGCTTTTTACAAAACAAAATGCATAATAAACTCAATACTTCATTATTTTGCCTTCACTGACTGTCCGCCTAACAACGAAAAGTTTGGTATGCTCTAGTCTTCATCCCTGTATGCTATGCAGCAAGCTTTGGCTTTTTGTACAACTGCATTTCCCAAACTCACAATTATTTATAAATCTAGCTCTGTACCATAAGAAAGTCAACATAAAACAAAGAGAATCATGTGGAGTATCAATTTTGCTTAACACTAATTTTTAAATTTTCATATAGAATCAAAAATGTCATAGATAGCTTACAAAACACTGAAAATAAAACATACGATTTCAAAAAAAATGTACTTGTATTATAGGCCCAGTCTTCCCATGGTTAATGGTCCTCTGCCATTTAAAGACTCTTTGATACAATAGTTTTAAAAGTCCTTTATGTGAATTTTCAAGCTGAATTAGAATTTTGGTTGAGTTGATTTTGTTTCCTAGTCTGTATTTACACCTAACTACTTGTTTGTGCACTTCAAAACTTTCACTGGCCTAGGATGGTATAAATATGTATTACTATTCATAAGACAGCTAATAAACTTCTCATATGTAAAAAAATAAACATATATATACGAGACAAGTCCATTGGATCATATCAAACTGTGTGTCTGGAAGAATCAATTTCCCTGTTTTTTAACTACAAAAGGCCTGAAATTAAAATAGTAACAAAGAGGTGAAAGACTTTTTGAAATATCGTTTAAGAAAAGTTATACTATACTCAAAATGCCCATACTACATCTTTCTTAACCAGAGTCTATAAGTCCTAAAATTATTTTTATTTCTCCAAAAACAACATGCAGCAAGATGAAAATGTCCACTTCTGGAAAAAGTTTAAAAAGTATTCTGTTATTCCCTAAGGAAACGGGATTGTTGTAAAATATAAAGTGTGCTCTTTATTTTTTCCTGGTCCTTTCATTTTAGAAATACTATACACAGAAAAATAACTAAAATGAAATCATCAATCCCAGACCAGTCAACAATGTTAAATGATTGTGAATTGAGTATATACTTAACTGGAATTAATATTTTTGGAAGATAAAAATACCTGCTATATAGAGCACAGTTGCCCACTTGTGAACAATATTTACAGGTTTGCTGTTCATCAATTATTTGTGGCAAAGGAGCAAGGTTTGTCTTTTCCTTTCCAGTAGCAGATTTGTTAATACGGTGAAATAAAGAGGATGCCATCTGGTTTCTTAGCTTTAATAATTCTATGGGAAATAAAAAGGTGGGTGTTTTTTAAGAATTAAGTAAAGTTTATCATATATCTTTTCCACTGCATAAGTAAGACTTTCAGATTTAAAAACATAAAGTAAAGAACAACATTCATATTTCTCACTATTCTACAATAGCCACTGTTAACATTTTGGTATAATTCCTTTAATTTTTGTTCACTTAAGTTCTTTCAACTATGTATCTCATAACTAGTAAATATTGTGAAGTTGGTGTTTTATTAGTTGAATGCTAAGGATAAATATCTAGAGTATAAGGATAAATATCTAGAGTATAAGATAGGAAGTTTATTAAAATAAAGTTTTGCATAATAAAACTTTTTAATGTTTTCAGCTATACTGTATATTGTTAACATTCTTTTTAAAGAATACAACTACAAATTACAAACTAGTACTAGGCCTAGTAAGTGCAGTGACCTACTGTTAGGTATAAATACAGGCATACCTTGTTTTTTGCACTTTGCTTTACTGTACTTCACAGACAGTGCGTTTTTTACAAATTGAAGGTAAGACCCTCTACCAGCAAAAACATTATGACTTGCTGAAGGCTCCATGATGTTTAGCATTTTTTAGCAAAAAGTATTTTTAAATAAAGGCATATATTTTTTTTAGAGAAACACTACTGCACACATAATCAACTACAGCATCATGTAAACATACTTTTATATGCACTAAGAAACCAAAAATTTGTGACTCGCTTTACGGCGGTGGTCTGGAATGAAACCTACAGTACCTCCAAGGTATGCCCGGATGAATCGCCAGAAGCTGAAGGAAAAAACAAACTAACTAACAAAACCTAGAAAAGTAAAACTGAGAGAAAAGAGCTCAACCTCTTTTATCAAGATGTCTGGCAGGCACAGGGTACATCTGGCCAGTTCTGAGATAGAGGAGTAGGCCGGCCTCTGGATCAGCTCTTCTCTCTTGACTTAGCAGTGTATACAGAACAAGCTGTGAAAACATTGTACATTTTGTCAAATAAAACTTTAACTTTCTATTTTTCCATATGTGTTTTACAATCAACACATACTGTAGCTTTAAAATCAAAAGGTCAATGAACTATTTCCATTTTGAAAATAACATGAGCCAAATCAAATCAGTAAAGGTAACACATAAATTCAATGTCAAATATTTAATTCCACAAAACATAGTTTATGCTTCTCAGTTTTACACAGACAAAAAAGAAGTATTTCAAATTTTTCTTAGAAAATATTTGGGTTTCCAATAAATTAAAGAGGGAAATTAATGAAACATTTTGAAGTTAATAGCTTTTAGACACTATTGTTCCTGGTTAAAATACATGAACTAAACACTAAAATGCATAGTTATATCATAGTTACTGTGACAACTAAATAAGAATAACTCTACAGAGTTCACTGTCTTTTCCAGAGCACGAGGTATCATTAGCTATTTTAGGTTTATGTGGTGCTCTTCAGAGAAGACATTTAAGACAAGTTAGAAATGGCTCCTTTAGTTCATGAAAACACCTTAACAGCAAGAGTAAGTCATTTTGTCTTATACAACCTAACAAGCTGATTTGTTTTCCAAGCAATCTCCAAGATTTAAATGTTAAATGATTTATGAAGGCCCGGGTCTTTAAGGAATAAATTACAAAAATACCAAGATCAGTAATTATAATTAACATGCCTAAGTATAATGTCAAATTATAATTATATTCTAGTTTTCTCAGCTATATTTAAAATATAATGATTACCCTAAGGAATAAAAAATAAATGAATAAACACAATGATTACTTTATAGAAGACAAAAAGCATTATTTGTAGCATAAATATTAATTATATCTACAAAGTCATCATTAAGTGCACAAGACATTTACAAAAAAAAACAAAAATAAGTTAAATATCATTAATTTTTGTTCTTTTGCTCCTACCAAAAATATTGGTCCTTGTGCAATTAACAAGTATGACAGAAATACTGAAGAAATCCCAATATATAAGTTTTGCAAAGAAAATACAATGCTAGATACCTCAATGTTCAAAGACATTTATAGAAATACTTATGGTAACCTCAAATATCTACAAAGTAAAATGTGGAAACATTCAGTCTTAGGAAATAATCACACCAAAGTTTGATATTTTAGCTTGATATTCTATATTCATCTGTAAACATAAGATTCTTATGAAGGGCTGTTGCTATAACATTTGAGCTTACAAAGCATATTTTGGGAAGTCTTCTTACAAGCACCCTACTTATGTTCCCTGATACAACATAAATACAAAATAAAACTTTTTAATATTAAAGTGAACTTGTAAATGACAGGGTAGAGGAGTCATCCAAAACTAACTGCCCTTCTGTGTTAAGTTTTTCTCTCAGTGAAAACTGAGGCAGAAGGAAAAAAGTATATAGGACTCTGCTTGTGGGACTTACAAGGAGAAAATATCTGAAATGATATTTCCTATGATAAAAAATTTGGGTTGAAATTTTACATTATTATTATAATTCAACTACATCACAGGTTAAATAAGTTTTTATGAGCAGGTTTAGGGGATCATAACTCCATATTTTTCCTTCAGAAAATGTATTTCAACTGATGAATCACTCACTTAGAAATGAACTTTTGGAATAAGATCCATTTATAAAATAAAGATCTTTAATTGAAGTTATTTTATAATGTAAGCTTTTTCTGTATTACCAAAGTGAAAAAGTTAAGAGGAGAAATTTATGTCTTTCCTTGTCCTCAATATCTATACAAGTCAATGAATAACCATAATTATGTTTCTAATGTTTTCTTGTTTCTTGCAATGAATATACAATATAAACTCCATTTGTTTGACCTTTGTTCTAATCAATTTCTTTTTAAATACAATACTATTTTATTATTAATATTATTTTATTCTTTAAAGTTCTTGCAGCTTCTCTTCTTACAAAGATAAAAGTTCCAACTGAACAAAATTAAATACAGTAACATTCTTTGCCTTGAAGGTACTACAGATTAGAGCAGCAACCTTAGAAGAAAGGTCTTTGAACCTAGATCAATTTAGATACTGAAAGGCTTTTATATTTCTATTCCTTTTACCATTCAAAAGTGATTTCAGTCAAACTTGTCCTTAAAAAAAAAAAAAAAGTAAAAAATTTTCAGTCTTATGTACACAGAACACATTTTTTTCCCAAATCTTTGACTTCAAAAAATAGCTTTTCTTCTATCTTGGCATAGTCTTCCTTCCTTAAAAGCCCTTTAGTCTAGCCAAGTCTTTAGTTCATAATTTAGTCATTTCTGTATTACCAAAGTGAAAAGCTCAAGTCTTCTAATAGGGGAAACCTACTTTTTCTTCTACCTCTAATATCTGTAAAACCTAATAATAGGTGAAACAACAACATGGTTACCTTACTTTTCATTCCCAAATGGAAAAGCTTTAGTGAGAACTTTTGGTGTTTGGTACACAATTAAGAATGGCGAGAAAGATTTAATAAGAAAGTATCCTTACAGACAACAGTATGGTGGTTACCAGAAAGGAAGAGGGTCACAGAGAGGATGAATGGGTGAAGGGGGTCAAATATATGGTGATGGGAGGAAACTAAACTTTTGCTAGTGAGCATACAATGCAATATACAGATGATATATTATAGGACTGTACACTTGAAACTCATACAATGTTATTAACCAATGTTATCTCCCCAAAATTAAAATTTTTAAAAAAGAGAAAGTGTTTTAAAATCTGACTACACAATTCAGTATTTTGAAACTGAATCTTATTTTATATAAAATCTGCTGAAATAATAAGTAAAATTCCAAGAGCAAAAAGGAAATTTAAGTTATACTGCAAATGTTATTATATTATTGGTTATTCCTTTAATACATATTATACCATAAAAATACATTAATATTACATATTTTAGTATTATCTTTGCCTATTTAAAAATGTCTAGAACATACTACAGACTGCCAATGTGGAACTGGGCAGAGGGAATGGAAATGATTAGAAAACAAAATAAAACTTTATGTTAATTACTTTAAGTCACTATAATTAATATAAATTTCAGGTAATTTTGAAGGACAACAAAAGATTGTTATATTTACCAAAGAAAAGAAAAAATGATTTAAAAAAACTTGAATTTAACATAATGGTGAGACACATTTTTATCATTTTGATAAAAATAAATATAACCAAATTAATGGTAGGGAATAAAAGAATGAATGATGTTTCCTAATGCGTGTCCTAGGTAGATGTTACATGAAAACCAGAGTTCCATGGTAAATTAGGTTTAGAAAACACTAGATTAAACACAGCTAAAACAAATCATATTACTTTAATATTTCTCAGAAACTTTAATAGGCTAATGTGTATCATTCAGTCTACAAATGTATTTGGTTTCCCTAACTTACATGACCAAGGATTTCTTTTTTTAGGAGCATCTGTTTAGACTGGTAGTTTGGCAGCATAAACTTGGCAACACTGGCTTACAAGGTCAGGTGTTGTTATCTCTTTGCTGGAGAAACTTTCTGCTGTAGCCATGTATACATTTAAAAAACAATCTGAGTACTCTGGATGTATCACAAATTGAAAAGTACTATATAAAACTCAAACATTACCTGAATTGAACCAAAATATATGGAGCAGACCACATTTTTTTAAAAAGCAGACTACATATTTAAACCTATTAAACAGACAATTTTCTTATAAGATTTATACCTGACTACGGTGTTCAATAGAATTTGATTCTTTGCCAGTTTTAAGTTCCAATGGCATTATTTTATATTTTGTTGTACATCCTCGATGTATTTTCACACCAACTGTAACATCTATTTTGCCCTTCAATCCAAACCGAGGGGACCAAACACTTTCTTCGATATCCAATGATTTTACGACTTCAATATTACATGTTGCATTATTGTTACTACCATCACTTGGCCTAAAAAACAAAACACGAAAATGCTTCATTAGAACATTTAGCTCACTTCTCATCTGCTACCATTGACTTTCTATTGCACACAGAGAATGTGAGGATGAGAAAAAGTCTATATACCTTTATAGCAGTAAAGTATGGTTCCTGGACTAGTAGCATCAGCATCACCTGGGAACCTGCGATAAATGCAAATTCTCAGGCCTCACTCCAGACCTACTCAATCAGAAACTCTAAGGGTGAAGGTCAGTGAATTATTTAACAAACTCTCCAAGTGATTCTGATGCGCTGTCCGATAGGTTATAACTCACATAATTTAAATTTTGTTAATATTCATCATTTGTCCTTTTTAATTAATTCCTACTATAATCTTCCTAACTCGAGCCTTTATTTCCTTAGGCGTAGATTATGCAAAAGTATCAATACTTGGACTGCTAGAGCCACAATACCGATCTGAATATTCTGATATACAGTAATTACACAGATTAATACATAATGGCTTGCATGTGGTTGTAGGTAGAAAGGGATGCGTTCCTTCATGTAACACTATATTAAACTGGGTAAAAATGAGTTGTCTTTCCCCATTATCTATGCAGTGTGGGGTTTGATCACCCAACACTTCATTCTTATACCCCTCTGTGACAATCCTGTGAGGAGTTCATGTGCTCCTACACTTCTTCATTATTTCCTTTACTTAAGCATTAAATTAATCCATCTCTGTCACTATCGATATTTAAAACTAAATACTCAACATTGTTTTTATATTACAAGAGGATCTGATTTTAATATCTTAACTGTTAAATAAGCCACAAGCACAGGAAGGAGGAAAACAAGGAATATATAAATGTTGAAGCAATTAGAAGAGATGAAAATAATTTTTAAAGCGTCTTACACTTATGTTATCTAAGAATTACTCATTTTCAGAGCAGTAAGTAATTCTACAGGAAAAAAGTCAAAAAAAGAGCTTCTGCTTATTAATCCTATTTTAGGTTGAAAGCCATATAAAATACTAAATCTAATAGAAATCTTACATGAAACGGATAAATTTCCTAATAAAACACTATATCATATAAAATCGAGATTTAAAAAGTATAAGAATTTTAGCTGTTAGAATCCATGATTTAGTTGACCTGATTTTCAACTTATTTAGATCAACAGCTATTTCTTAACTAATGAAAATATTTTCTAAGAAAAAGAATGCTATCTTAATAAATTTTAAAAACTGTTCCAAGATGCTTCAAATATAATCTCCAGTAATACAGTTCTGCAATCTTTGAAGATGACAACAGAGGAATTCTGGGAAGCCACAACTTAATCTGTGGAACAAAGGACAGTATTTCAATTTAACTAATATGATTTTAATCAACATAATTCTGTCAAACTCCTTTTAGAACCACCTGACAGAATATAGTATCATGAAAATAAAGAAAATATACATTTACTACCCATGGGCAAGAAAGGTTGTCTCTTTAAACAGCTTTTAAGGGTCTCATTCTGTGCTTTACAGTCTAATCATATTTTCACCCCTGGAATCACCACTGTCTTTTCTTTCCTTCACACTCCATATCCCATCTAAAACCTATCAACTCTAACCTTTAAAAAGTGACCAGAATCCAACCAATTTTCATCACTTCTGCAACTGTCACTCTGGTCTAACACACCACCATCTCATTTAAATTATTACAAGAACCTTCGATTAGTCTCCCTATATCAGCCCTTATCCTACAACATTGTCTCAAAAGAATAGCCAGGGTGATCCTTTTAAAAGTAAATCACATCAACACAGAAACTAGCACAGCGAGGTTAAGGAACTTGCCTAAAGCTACAAAGGTAAATTGTGGTAAAACTGGGATTCACATACAGGTTCAGAATGTCCTTTGAGGTACAGAGAACGTTAGAGAACACATTGGTCTAGAAAACTAACTGTTCCCAAGACTTCTGATTCACAAATTTCGAACAAGTTATTCAGATCACAAAATGTCATAAAATATTGAGAATTAAAAAGGGTTAAGAAAATTGATATAAGTGGAAATTGTGCCTATTTAAAGATAAATATAATGTTGCTGTTAAAAAAAGAAGATACCAGATTAAAACCCACTGTGCAAAATCTCCAGTGGCTTCCCATCTAATAAGAACAGCCAAAGTCCTGAAATGGCTTATGAGGACTCTAGACAGCTACTTCTGCTCTCTCTCCCACCCCACTTTACTCCAGCCGCACTCGCAGGTGTCAGCCA